TTACTGGGCAGACAGCAGGGGAAGAAAGGGAGAACATAAGAAAAAAAGGTTTTGCTGCTCCTGTAGCTCCCCCTGCAGGAGGAGAATGTGAAGGACAGAGCGCTCAGGGAGAAACACCTCTCAGCGTCTGTGGCCAGAAAAACCAGATTTCTCTGCTTGACACTTTAGTTACAGAAAATTATGAGTCAGAGCCAACATCACTTTGCAATTAATCATACTTGTTTTGCTATAGCACTTATTACAGTTTTTCATGATTGCTTGAACACATTTCTTGAAATTATGCCTCTTTTTCTCAAAACTCTAGGCTCACAGGGCTGTGTACAAAGAACTTAGCTTTTTCTAAACCGTATAATGTAGCAGAAAATGTAAGAATTACTTCAAAGTTGTACTGAAGTACAGTACTTGAGTAAATTCACTTACTTATTTTCCACCACAGGACCATTATATTACAGTTTTTCTCAATTGCTCAAAACATTTCTTGAAATTATGCCTCTTTTTCTTCCCCAAACATCCTATTTTCAGGTCAAAATGAAGCTCTCCACTCAAAACCATTTAGCCTTGCTGAAAAACCAAACTTTGCCCTCAGACATGACACACAAGGCCTCAGAAACACACACACTACAACACAGTCTGACACACTGACGAGAGAAATTCAAAACAACAGTACAAAAACTGGTTGGGGTAAACTGGTTAGGCTTAAGTAATGTTGCTTGTGGTTCTCCCCTTCAGAAACCTTTTCACATGATGAACATAACATTTTTTTTATTTTTTTACAACTGCTCACACACAAAATATTTACATGTCACACGATTTTTGAAGACTCTCACTCTAAGAGCAAAACTACACCTCAAATATCCAAAACCATAAGCTGTTTCTCAGCCTTTCACTCAGTTTTCAATTGCATCAAACACTTTTTTCAAAACACTGCATACAATTCTTCAAACTGGGACGCAAAAATCTACCAGGAAGTGACCTGCTTTCCTTTTCCAAACACAACCAATGAAAATGAAAATGCTACACTTCTTCACCAGGTCATACACACCCACTCTTCACATGCGCAAACACTAACTGCTTTAATGATCACTAACCAATCACTGCTTTAGTATTCAATAAACCTATTAATAGGTCAAAGTCAGATTACATGTTTTGAACAATGGATGCCAACAATGGACAGAGAGCAAGGGGAGGAGGAGGCGACGACGAGGACAAGTTGGAAGAGGAGGAGGACGAGGGCAAAGAAGAGCAGGAAGGAGAGCCATCTCTGATGAGATCAGGGCCACACTTGACTGAGAGTCCAGCCCAACTTGAGTGGCTTTACAGCGGCGACCACAAGTTGAACCTTCAGAAACAGGTTGCAATAATCTCTTGGTCATTTCAGCAGCTCAGTGTTGTAAAATAAATAATATCATTGTTTGCCAATCAAAGTAAAAATTATACTTTTGGTTTATATATGTTGATGGATTTTGTTTTGAACAGCCATGTTTTACCAAATAAATTCTCTGTTTCAACACTGCATTGGTGTTTACAACGCACTCTTGGCAGATTATTTTCACTCTAGAACATTGTATGGAAATGTACACATAAGCCTATGAAAGACAAAAGAGCTTTCAATTTATAGCAACAGTGTAAATGGTATATCCAATAATTTACTATTATGAAAAAAGTGTTTGCCATCTGATGCAAAGGCAGCAGGGGTTGTAGCCAGTTCTGTGGTCTGGTCACTGCCACCCCAACCAACGGTCGCCACCACGGTCTCTGAGGGAAGGCCCCTCTCTGTTCCTTATTAGAAAAAGGTCAGTTTCAAGTTTTTATACAGTCTATGGTTCCAAAGTAGGCCTAAAGTGACCTTAGATAATTAAAATGATCTCAGCTGGCAGATGATTTGTCTAATAGAGAATAGAGTGGCAACCCGCTCTCTGCAAATGCTCCATTTTGGGATGTGTTTATGGCACATAGTTGTGTGAAACAAACTGTAAATGTTTACCAGTAACTATACTGACACACTAACCCCTACAAATACACGCACAAACACTTGTGTCTAAAAATGATACTTCTGGTTTACATGTGGTTATGGTTTTGTTTTCCTGTGTCCTACAACACTGTGCTACTTTTACAATAGTAATGTTTTGCCAAGTAAATATTTTGGGTTTCAACACAGTAAGACAGTATGGAGAGGAGTCAGAGGTGAAGGAGAGAGAGAGAGAGAGAGAGAGAGAGGGGGGGGTAGAGGGGAGCTGCCTACACAATATCCACACAGAAGCACAGACAATAAAGGCAATAGTGGTTCAGACTGAAAATGAATAATGGTACAGATATTTACCGTAATGTTACTGATAATAATAACAATAATAACGATAGGACTTGTAAAAACAATTGTAGCAGCAGGTGACCCGCAACCACAGATCCAGACTCCACAGCTCCAGAGCCAGAAACACCTGCAGGAAGTGATAGGAGGAGAGAGGAGAGAGACGAGAAAGCACAAGACTACCGGAAAGGGGAGAAGTTGTGTTAGTAACATGCAATAATGTGATGAGGTTGCATACAGAGGGAGAGAAAGTAGAGGAGAGAGGAGCTCAGTGCATCATGGGAAATCCCCCAGCAGTCTAGGCCTATAGCAGCATAACTAAGGGATGGTTCAGGACTCACCTGAGCCAGCCCTAACTATAAGCTTTATCAAAGAGGAAAGTCTTAACCCTACTTTTAAATGTGGAGATGGTGTCTGCCTCCTGAACCCAAACTGGAACCTGGTTCCACAGGAGAGGAGCTTGATAGCTGAACGCTCTGGCTCCTAGTCTACTTTTGGAGACTCTAGGAACCACAAGTAACCCTGCATTCTGGGAGCGCAGTGCTCTGGTGGGGTAGTAAGGTACTATGAGCTATTTAAGATAAGATGGTGCCTGACCATTAAGAGCTTTGTAGGTAAGAAGAATGAATTCTATTCTGGATTTTTACTGTAAACCAATGCAGAGAAGCTAAAACGGGAGAAATATGATCTTATTTTACACACAGCTGGTGCAACCCAGCGCAGATGTTTGGCTGTTAACGTTACAGAGAAGCCCATTGTGCTCCCCTGCCCAGATTATTATTATTATTACATTTACAATATCAGAGATCGTCATCGTCATACCTCATCACATTGACATTGACTTCATTAGAATAGCAAAACTGTGGCAGTTTATGGCACAGGGCCAGTGACAGAGGAAGGAAGCAGCGCTTTCACACAATGATTCATATCATTCCTGCAAATGAATGAACCCTCGTGTGTATATATAGTATACACACACACTAGTATATATGTACTTTTTGGATTTAAAACAGGGACAGTGTACAATTATTGTATTGCACTAGACATAGCACATTGCTAATGTCCATCTGTTGTCCCTTGGTGTGTATACAATGCACATATAACAATATCAAAATAATTTTCCACATGATAAATACAACTGTAGGACAGACCAGTCCGTATCCATTCAGCTTTTCGGACCTTAATAACATCATGACTGTCAACTGACTGTTGTCTTTCAATAGAGTAATGATAATAGTTTAAAATCAATCAATAGGATCAATCCTATTCACCTTATATACTCCTTTTGGGCAATATTATCATGAAACACTCCATAAACCTTCATGTTATGCAGACAGATGACACTCAGTTCTATCTATTGACCAAGAAATGAACCCAAACACCAAGACGCATTATCTAAAGATCTATCTAAAGGTCCTCTGGATGGCATCGCCCTGGCCTGCAGCACCCCTGTGAGGAGTCTCGGAGTTATCTTTGATCAGGACATGTCCCATTACTCTCACATTAAACAAATTTCAAGGACCGCCTTTTTTTCACCTACGTAATATTGCAAAAATCAGGAACATCCTGTCTAAAAATGGTGCAAAAAAACAAGTCCATGCATCTGTTACTTCTAGGCTGGATTACACTTGCACTTTTGTCTTTTGTCCAGTGCTTAAAGAGCTTGTTTATTAAACACTTTTACAAAGTGGTTGTATTGTTTTTGTCCAGGCCTGTGACTGGGACAATATTCATGTAACTATTAATCTGTTAGCAGGCTGTTAAAGCTCCTGGTTAAACAGTGGGGGATAAAAGGTTAACACTTACAGACAGGTCTTCATGTTGCGTGAGAACTGACATTTGCTGCGGTCGGTCTACAAATAAATGAAGGCGAGCTACGAGTGGTTGCAGTGTTTAGACTTGGCTTGAACCTGGGCAGCCACAGTACAGCTTCCCTTTTAGCTACGCATGCATTCTGTATTCAAACGTGACAGGAAGATCTGGTTTTCCTTCAGTAACTTTCACACACATTCACACTTCATGCTGCATGATGAAAAGAGAGAACAATTGATGGTGTTTGCAGACAATGGTGTTTATAACTATAAAGCACAATAGACATACTGAGTATTCATGTAGGCTGGTTTTTTGTGCTTTACGTTGCTTTCTGTACTGAAGCATGAACATCGAACATCATGTCCTAAAAAGACACAAGGTCAGAAAAAATGACAAGCGGCATGTTTGCCTGCACATTAATATTAAATAGACTTATATCCCAGTGAGAAACTCACTGATAACTAACAGCTGGATGTGCAGAATGATAATGGAGCAACATTTTAACTTATCCAGGAGAGAATCAAAATAAAAAATAAATATAACAAGCCTAATTATGAAATGTGTTATTAATTGTGCCTTTGTGTGGTCACATCCAGCTCTTCATATTTTAGCATATTTTTTTCAGTCAATAATTAACTCTCTTCATTGACTTTTTTTATTGATGCTGACATTTCATCTCCCCATTAATCGTTTTATTAATTCTTGTTTTTTTTATTTTATATGATGAATGTATGTTGTACATGGAACTGTTCTTTCTTTTTCAGTTGTCTTCTTCTTCTCTTCTGGAAAATCAAACAGGATGCATTTGTCCAGTATTCTAACTGCTCCGTTATGACACTGTTCTCATCGCTTTCTCTACGTTGTCTCTGCATCTACCCCAGTATGCTAGTCAGGCCAGTTACAGTGAGTTGTGTGTAATTTGCATGTCCTAGATGCGTCTTTGTCACTCCATCTTACATCTCCTCCTCATTCTCCCTGTCAAACTGTGCAGAAGCTGCATGAGCTCCATTTAACTCTGTGATGGAGGTACAGATGAGAATTATTTTCCTTTTTTTTGGTAAGTAGCCTTTTTACCTAAATAACTGATGCGTAGAATTGCCTGTACAGACGTGTCCACCAATTTACAGTGACTACTGAATTGTATGTAGACCTAGCAATTATATTAAGCTAAATTTTTAAATAGAACCACTGTTGTCTGTCAGTGTATTTGGTACATTAGATCAAGATTAAGATCAGATTAAGGAGAGAATAACATAAACCAAAAGGTGGGATAGTCTGAAAAAATGTTTCAGCAGAGCAATAATGTAGGTTAATGCACAACATATTTAATAAATAAATATATTATGACATTAATTTCATTAAATTACAAGTATAAATATTAGCGTTCAGAGTTTAATGTGCTCAAAGTTTTGAACATGAGCAGGAAACTTGCTGAAACAATAGTAGCCTATAAGGTTTGATTGTGTTTTTGTTTGGTTGCACCTCTTAAAAAGTTTTTGAGTAGCCAATAAAAATAAAGCTCCTGCCTTTTGCGAGAATGTTTAAAGTTATTTTAATAGACCACCTCTTGCCATCAACAGAAATAACAGAAATATGTATGCTGTATTTTTTTGTTATAGATTTTGAAAGTATCAGTTTAACTAAGTTGACCGTGTTTATTGCAGCCCCGTGACAGCCTCAGAAACTGGATTTATTTCATTTTTGTGTCAAAGCTTTTGATTAATTGATTGCTCTCTGGAAGAAAAGAGAATTTCAAAGAATAAAACAAACAAAAAAATGCATCTAAAAAAACTGCTTACCCCAGTTTTAAATCTTCTGATACAGCAGGATCTAACTTTAACTTCTACATGAGCCGTTTCACACATTTCAACATTATACTGGGACCTAATTTGTAAATCAGCAACTGCTTTTACTTAAAGCAAACCCTGTTTCTGCTGGGAACATGTTGTGTCAACAGGACTATTTCAGGAAGTCCTCATTTTATCTGGTGATCAATCATGGCTGAATGATTTTTCTCACAGTCTTCACAGAAGGGGCATTGTTATGCACATGTGCATCTACCCTCATGTTATAGCCTGGCTCACAATAAAAGAGAGACACCAAAAATACAGTTAACAAAAAGTATTTTGTCAATCTTATGAAATTAAAATAAAATAAATTAAAGTAAATCCCCTCCTTTGGACTCTTAAGATCATAAAACTGTCGGCTACTTGAACTCTAAAGGGTTAAAGAGGATGAGATAAGCTGATGTGATGTGATGAATTTTTTGTTTTTTGGTATATATATATATATAGCTGGTTGGAGAGGGGCACATTTCCGATCCACCTAGACTGGGGTTTTTCCTTTGCAACATGCAACTACAAGCTTCAAAGTTGAATTGTGTAATTCAGTAAGGAGGATTGATTGAAAGTGTGTAAATGAAGCTTAGCGTAAGTTCAATCAGGAAGACTATGCTACTCATTTGTTCACATTTTCCTCTCTCTTTTCTTGCACATTTAAAGTGTAAAGCCAGAGGGCAAAGCAGGGGGAAGTGTGATTCAAGCCAGACCAACAGAGGTGTCATTTACACCGGGGACACTGGGGACATGTCCCCACCAAGTTTTGAAATGGTTGATTTTGTCCCCATCACTTTTTGAAAGCATTTGTTAAAAGTGTTCTGAAAAATAGCTTGCAACAAGAAATGTTAACTAACAAATGGAAATGCTTTGAGAAAGGTTTATTTGCACAATAACATGCAATTTAAATATAGCAGACACCAAATGTGAATTGTACAAAAAAGTAACTTAAGCTGCTGATCACTGCATTATATTATTATTCTGCATTATTATTTATATTTATATTTATTATATATTATATTTATAATTATGAATTGTCCCCTGCCAGCTGAAAATGTCTCCAAATTACAGCGTGTAACGTTCTGGGGTAGGACACGAGGACCTTCCACTCATATATTTTGCATTTCCCATATCTTCTAAATAGTGTTAAAAATCTTTTCATCTTGTTCTTGTGCTTCGTTACATCTCGTGTATCATCACGCCCCTAATCTGAGCCCTCATGTCCCCACCACTTTTTCAACACAAAGTGACGCCCTTGAGAAAGCAGATCAGTCTTATAATCTCTAGTATTAGTAAAAGTACAAACTACAAGTATCGTGGAGCGTGAGCGCGTTACAGACACATGGTGTTGTCATAGACGTGGGCACAACTTTTTGCCCGTTTACGCTCGTCACCTCCTGCTTTGCTGTTTGACATTTTTATCACTAAAGTTACTGCCTCCTGATGCAGTTTGCTAGAGTTATGCTACATTCAGATACTTGGCGACGAGGCCATGTTTTAATTTAATTATTTCTGTGTTTGGCAATTTAAGCACATTTTGTCATCAGAAAGAGTGTGTAATCATGTGGTGGATGAATAAAATTACGCTTCAATAAGAACATTTTAGAAATTGAATCAACATAAATTAATTTGCATAGAAATATTCAAATGTAGCCTGTGTGCTGATATGATTCACGGGGCCAATTCACAATAAATGTACTGCAACAGTAAGGTATCAAAATACTATAATATTATTTTAAAGGGGTGAATTCACATTTTTATATGTTACTTTTTTTAAATGTAAAATATCTGACTCCGCCCACTCAGCCATGAAATCTTCAGCGAGTTCGAGTCTGGCGTCTGCCCATGAGGTGTCACTTCTGAGAGCTTGTTGAAGTGATGAGCTTTCGATATGATAATATGCCCTCGTCGAAACACAGAGAGGACGGAAGCAGCGCCTGTGAACACCGACAGATCTGTCTTTGTTCATTTGGCTTATGTTCTGTGAGCAAAAACACATTTAATGCTGGGAAAATCGTGATTTTCTACATTGCATCAACATTTTGGCAGATTCCATGATATTCCGTGTTTTACAATTAATTTCATTTTTATTGTCAAATTCTGCGATTTCCGCATCTTTCACGGGAGGCTTATCCGCTTAAAAAAATATAGCAAAAAGATGAACGACAAAAAACCCTTCATACCCAGTAGAAGGTTAAAGGTCACATAGATAGACACATGAAGTCAGGGAAACATTTGACGTATACGCAGTAGAATCAGTAGAAGAAGAGGCCAGCTTGATTTTCCCGTGTATATGATGAATATGATGTTGTGTAAAAAGCGCTTCGAGCGGTCGCAAAGACTAGACAGGTGCTATACAAATACAGAGCATTTACATTTACAGTCCAAACCCTGCATCATCACTTGGCTGTAAAAAATATTCACATGGTTATAAAGTATTTCACATGGCTGCAATAGACATTCTGGAAGTCGTGAGCTTACATCTCACTGTTGACTTGTTTGCTGTGCATCTGTGTTGACTGTTGTACCACTCTGTATTTTACAGTGATGATTTCATCTGCGACGGATGAAGTGAAGAACCTGACGGGCGCTGAGGGAGGATCCATCACTCTACCTGACCCTGTTGTGGAGTTGGGATTTCTTTCATTAGGACAAAAGCCTATTGCTATGGTGACTGAGAGGAAAATCACAATATTGGAGGAGATTTATAAGGACAGACTTCTCTTGAACAGCAACACTGGACTCTTTACACTCTCAGGCCTGCAGAGGACTGACTCTGGGATTTATTATATTGACTCTAAAAAAGGAAGAGTTTTCAGTAGCTCTTATAAACTCACTGTGTATGGTAAGTCACATTTCCTTTGCCTGTGTATTTGTGACATCATTTCTCTGTTTAATCTCCACCAATTTCTTCTCCAGAGTCTGTCCCGACTCCTGCAGTGAAGGTAACAAGTGTGAGCGCTGACAGCTGCACCTTACTGTGTTTAGTGGAGAAAGCCGAAGAGACGTCACTGTTGTGGTACAAAGACGAGGAAATAGTGAACCAGAGCAGCTCTGCGCTCTCTCTGCCTCTCACAGTACACAAGCAGGACTTCAGCTCCTCTTACAGATGTGTGGCAGCCAACCCTGCTGAAAATAAGACTCATGCAGTCCATGTTACCACATCCTGCAGTGGACAAAACGACACGGAGACAAACACAAGACATCGTAAGACCGATTCTAACACTGAATACAAAAGTAATATTCTCATATTTTAAAGGATCTTTTAATTGGTTCATGTTGTTGACTGTTTTTTGTTGATGTCGTGTGTTTTGTTTGACAGATATGATCGGATTTGCAATCTCAATAGTGGCTACTGTAATTATTATACTTGTTGCCTGTAACATCAAGTGGAAACATTTTGACAAGACAACCAGGAAAACACACGGCAGGTATTTATGTGTTTGTTTTTGTTAATCTCACTGCTTGATTACAGATTTAAATAAATGTGTGCATTTGTCTAGATTTTGTAGTATTTCTCTCTAAACATTTCTAGGACTAATCGTTCATTTAAAGCTGCTGTGGGTAACAATTGTGTTTCTCTCTGCTGCTCGTATCACTCCACTAGGCCCCTCCCACCAAACCCACAAGCAGGACGCCGGCTGCCCTGCGAAACCTCCTCCTGCGTAGGGGTCGCTCTCTATGGTCAAAGTCTCACCATGACCCCGGTCCCTCGCTCAGGCTTCAGAGGCAGCTGCGACTGGGATGGGAGAATATCGTAGCGGGTAGTATCTCCACAACTAACCTCTCAAACAGCTTCACATTCCTGATGGACGAGGCTCTCTCCGTCCATGCGATGTCTCTGGCCCCATCTCCTCCACCTGGGGCCTCTCCACCTGTGGCTAGCCAAACTAGCCAACCCACCACCGCTCCTGATCTGGCTGCGCACCTCCGCACCACAGACTCTCCGGCCGTCATCATCAGACTCTCAGGAAGTCTCCCTCGGGGCCGAGCCACTTCACCACCGTCCGCCTGGCAGACCCCCAGCCGGAATCGCCGTCCCAAATGCAGAAAGAGGTGGCGGAGCATCCGCTATCATGTCCTGGCAGCTCGCACACGTCACCTTTGTTTATAAAATTGTATTTTGCCTTATTAAAACTAAGAGAATTGTCTGTATTTATGCATGTGTAACTGCCGTCCATTAAAAACTTGTACTGCATGTTCTTTTGTGCTGCTTCCTGGCCAGAGCTCTATTGCAAAAGAGATTTTAATCTCAAAGACACTCACCTGGTTAAATAAAGGTTAAAAAAGCAGCCTTGTGCTGTATAATGACATAAACAACCTTGTACCTTGTTACACTGGCCATGCTCTCACATCATCAACTCAAAAACAGGCTGGTAAAATTTCGTCTCATCTGAACAGCCTCTCCTCTCTGACACTGAGCTCCTGGTGAACACCTTTTACAAACAATGTCTGACAACATTGAAGTCGTTTGCCCCAATTAGAACCTGAAACAAAGTCTCTTCAGCAGTATCACCGCAACGACCACACTCGTGCCCTATAAAGAGAGAGAGGTATGCCGCTGCTTGTTGAAGCTCTCCTGAAAAACAAAAACAAATTTAGATCCCTCCATCTTGAACAATCATAGACCTGTTTCTAAATGGTCATTTTTATCTAAAGTCATAGAGTCAGACAATAACTTATTCAAAATATTCCAGTCTGGCTTTTTGCGTCTCCCCATAGCATTGAGACTGCTCTCCTCAGTGTCTCAAATGACCTTTTCATGACTGCAGATGCTGGTGAGTGCTCTATTCTACTTCTTTTGGACTTCAGTGTTGTGTTTGACACAGCACACTGGATGGGTGGGCAGGTTTAAGGTCACTGACGTGGCCTTAAACTGGTTCAGGTCCTACCTGTCTAACAGATGTTTCTCCATGACTATGGCCGGGTCAGTTTCATCCCCTACAAACATGCTCTATGGCGTCCCTCAAGGCTCAATTCTAGGTCCCATTCAATTTTCTATCCATATGCTCCCCCTCAGGAATATCATCTGCAAATACAATGTACAATTCAACTCTTAGGGCCACGCTTTGGTGGACACGGGCCTTTAGGCTGACATGGAGGCATCATTTGGTCAGAATTATAACTAAAAGTCCAAATTTAAAATTAAAAGAATTATGGCATGTAGTACTGAGAATTCAGCATTTGCAATGTAGGGTTGGTCATTAGGCATTTAGGATTAAAGAGTGGGGAGTGTATGCAAATGAGGGGGTGTGGTCAAAGGCTGGAAGGGGGGTTTGGACAGCAGTGGGAGCTCTGGCTGTCATTGCACACTGCTATGAAACCAAACAGAGTTACTATAATGTAACGCCATAATTTCAACTTGATGAAAGCGTTGTAACATTTCTGTCCATGTAGCCTATCAGACTTAGTGACCAGTGAAAGGAGCACTATCACTCTGACAGTGAGAAAACAGCGTACAGTGCAGCAGGTAAGCTATATTAGCTGTTATTTGCTGACATGTATTAGTAAGATTACATTGGTAAATGCTGGTTTTTAAATGTGGGAAACCCTGCAAAAAATAGACGATCCACTGTTTTCACATTGTCAGTAGTTGAGTTTGCACTTTCTGTTTTTTCCTACTGTGTCGCAAGCAACGTCATGGGTTAGTAAACAGAGGAAAGCAGCATGGAGGCCAAAGTGCAGAGACGAGTACCGGCAGCTTGTATGAAGTGTTAGGCATGACATGTTGGTTTTATAAGGAGCACATGCTACAACAGAACCTCTAATATCCATAAAACCAGATGTAATAAAAACAATAACCTGACCTAAAAAAGCTCATTCCCTGGCTGGCATTTAACCTGAAGATAAGCTGTGATGAAAGAGTGTGCCACTGTAACAAGAGAACCCCACACACAGTTATTTTTAGCACAACATAAAGCCTGAACGGAAGTGACATTTGGTTTTGTTGGTCATGGGCCACTGAACTGTGGCCTGTCAGTCTCAGTCATACCTGCTGTTTTTCAGGAGAGGAAGTGCCGACTCGTTGGAACTTAACATCAGGAAATAACCTTCCTAACTGTACCAGAAACGGCTAAATCTATAAATGTGTACGTGGGGTAGCAAGAGGTTTTAGCAGGGTGACATGGGAGGGCGGACACAAACCGCTGCAGGTGCAGGACAACAGAAAATGGACATTAATATCATGAGGAAGTAAATAAGTGAATTTACTCAAGTACTGTACTTTAGTACAATTTTATAAAATTCTGCTACTTTATATTTTTACTCCACAACATTTTAGAAAAAGATCATTGCTTTGGAGGCTCTGTACACAGCCTTTAGTCTGATAGCACAAGTTAAAAAAGTTTACAAAGTCTGCTTCCATGTCAGCTGAGGCTTTTAAGCCAAGTGTCACCTAAACATGCTCCCCTGATGTGAAAAGTCTTCTAAATTAACTACAGATCATGTTTCTGTGTGAGAGAGGCTGATTACTGGGCAGACAGCAGGGGAAGAAAGGGAGAACATAAGAAAAAAGGTTTTGCTGCTCTTGTAGCTCCCCCTGCAGGAGGAGAATGTGAAGGACAGAGCGCTCTGGGAGAAACACCTCTCAGCGTCTGTGGCCAGAAAAACCAGATTTCTCTGCTTGACACTTTAGTTACAGAAAATTATGAGTCAGAGCCAACATCACTGACTAAAAATGTATTATTGTGACAATGGTTATGATTTAGACATAGAAAAAGCAAAGGATATACAGAGGTTCTCCTGGGTTTTTAGTCTCTGTGTAACAGTAACAATCTGCCACAGTGTTTGGCTTTACCCTGAGGAAAGGAAAAATAAGATCTGTTCTTTATCCACCATATTTCTCCAACAATAACTGAGCCCAATTTAATAGCAATTTGACTTTCTTCTTAAATTTAGCTTCAGAGAAATATCCTTCCTCTTGTCTCAGCACAATTTACTCTCTTAAAATGCTTTTTTCTTTCTCTGAACTGATTTGTCTGAAAATAATCACCTCTAACAGTTAGATCCAAAACTTTGATCTGCTTATAAACAACCATCTTCATCAGTTTTAGCCACACTAGTGACATGGCTCTAGGGATGGCGATGTCGGGCAGTTGGTCCAGACTGAAATATCTCACAGCTATTAGATGGATCATTTTGACATTTGGAATATCTTTGAATGTTAGAGCAGGAAGACTGACTTTGGTGATCCCTGACGTTGACATTCATCAAATTTTAGACATTTGCTGCAGACATTCATGTCCACACATGATGAATTGCATTAACTTTGTCAATCTTGAATTACTAACTTCATTATGACACCAATTAAAAATCCACAGCAAGTCAGTTAATACAAAGGATTGTTGATACACAATATTCTGGAGTTGAACACCTTCCAATACACTGAACATCACTCACAGGACAAGGATAAAAATACTGATCCTGAACACCAAAAGCAACTGCCACAATTACACTGATGAACAGTTTATTAGCTCAATCAGGAGTGAAAAGCAAATCTTAATAATCCACTTTAACTGCAGAAGCTTGGATGCTAACTTCCACAACATCAAACATAATCTAAATCAATTCAAAAAGCCTTTCAATACAATCACAATACCTGAAACTTGGATAAACAGTGAAAGGGACACTGATTTTCAACTTAAATGATATGACATGTCTTGTATTAACAGAGAAAACATGAATGGGGTTGGTGTGGCTTTACAAGGTGGTGAATAATTTACTTGAATGTGTCTCAATATAAATATGTATGGAAATGAAGAAAAACATAAATGTAAGTTGCATAGATTTTATCAATACATGTACAGTCTCTGCCTTCATCCCAAAATCACCAGACCCAGTCGGATTACTTCCTGTTGTGCAACATGAATCGACAATATACTATATATTTATATATATATATATATATATATATAAAATAATATACAAATGACTTAGTTAACTACACACTGTTAATAAATGACATCAGTGACCACTTAACAGTTTTTACAGTTTATGACAGATGAAATATTCAGACGGATGCAATCAAAACTGATTTGCTTGCACAATACTGGGAAATATTATATAAAGAAAAAGGATTTATTATTATTATATGATAAAAAATTGTACAAGAAAAAATACAGAAGAAAACAAAAATCTAAATATGATGTTGACTGTTTTCACCCAAAATCATCAGATTTTTGTTTGGCCTGACAGGCTTCAGCACATAAACCTTTATTTTTGTTTTGTATCCGTAGTTTGTGTTGGAGTCTGAGTTGTACTGGGTGCTGGTTGTTTTATGGTGACGGTGGACTACATGTCGTTAGCTGCGGTGTTGTCGCTGTGGTCGGAGAGAGAGGCTCAGGAGGGCGCACAGAGCTACATCCTGACCCGGTGTCCTCACATTCAAAGCAGAACAGTGAAGAAAAACCACATTTAGCCCCTTTCACTAATTTCATGACAACATATAAGAATATTACAGTAAACTATGGAAACTAATAAAAAGAATATAATTAAACAGCATTATTAGAAATGACTCAAGACAGGGTAATTATCCCCAGTATTTTATTGATAATAAAAGGTTATGTCAAACTCGAAGTATTTGACCAAATATATCTAAAAGTAATGGGCTGCACTTACTCTGCATTCACGTGCTCCTCGTGTTGGTCCCATTTCTCAAGTTAACATATTTGTTGGATAATGTGTCGGATAAGCATCATCATTGTCATCCAACTATGCTGAAACAATTTTAAACTTTCTATGACAAAGTATTTTTTTCATCCCAGACTTGTTACTGTACCAGTAGCTTACACAGCTGAAACCACTAAAATATTAACTGATTTTGCACCATTATTTAAAGTTTCTACCCATCAGCCATGTTGTTTTTCCGACTTCAGTGGGGGTTTGTGTGAATTTGTGTGTCGGGAAATCATTTTTACGGTTATTCCAACACCACATGAATGCACAATTAGTGCTAATTAGCAAACGTTAGCATGCTAATAGTTCAAATAAAATGGTGAACATGGTAAACATATCTGGTAAAAATCTTTCCTCAAAGAACTGTCATTGTGAGTGTGTTACCATGTGTATATAAGTCTTTGTTTTCCTAGTTCAGTCATGATTCTACCAGTTCAGGTGGATTTACCCTTTCATGTGGATTTATGGACCATTTATCACCTGTTTGTCTCTGGATGTATGTTGTTTCACCGTCACTGCAAGTTTCACCGTTTTCTCTGAAGAAATACAACAAATTATTCCTATTAATATATTTGCAGTATTAGAAACTGCGCATCTGTGGCGAAATTCCCGGTAAAAT